CATTACTAACCTTTATCTGCTGCATAATCTCTTGGTGGCATTTTGATTTCTTGGCGTGATCTGACTGTAAAGCAACTTCCCAGCAGTTTACCAAATAACAACAATGCTTCGATTTATGGCGCGAAGATCATACCACGTGGTTTCGGGAATAGGAAGTGACAATCTTCAACGGATTAAAACATGTCGTTCGGATATTATCGGCAACCCCCCCCCCCCCCCCACTTCCAGTATTCTCATTTTTTAAGCTAAGAACATATAATACATGGAATAAACATTTATGTTCTTGTATTTGATGAATGTACAGTTTTTTAATGCATTGGCGCCTGAAGCACATTGGAAGTGAGGGGTGGGGTGCACGTGGGGCTAATTCAACATGTTCAAAGAGAACAAAAATTTCAAAGCAGACCTTTGATCCCCTCCCCCCCAAAAAATGGGGATGGGGTGGGTTGGGGCACACATGTTGAGGCTAACCACCGTAGCCCCCCCCCCCCCCCCTTGCGGTTCCGTCACCTTTGTTATATTGACTTTGGTTTATAATATACTTCAGTCAACTACTCTTTTCCATAAGGCATTTGCACATGTAGCATTGGCGTCTGAAGCACATTGGAAGGGAGGGGTGGGGGGGGGGTGGGGGCTAATTCAACATGTTCAAAGAGAACAAAAATTTCAAAGCAGACCTTTGCCCCCCCCCCCCAAAAAAATGGGGATGGAGTGGGTTGGGGCACACAGGTTGGGGCTAACCACCGAAGCCCCCCCCCCCCCCCTGCGGTTCCGTCACCTTTGTTATGTTGACTTTGGTTTATGGTATGCTATATATATGGCACGCCAAATTCACAAAAATGAGCAAAGCATAGGTTCACAGTCGATAAACTAGGTTTATCGGTTGTAAACTATAGTTTACGGACTGTAAACTATAGTTAACAACGTTAATCTATATTTTACATCTGTAAACTAAAGTTAACGCGATAATCTATGTTTTACAACCGTAAACTATACTTAACACTGAAAACAATCATTTGCGATTGCAAAACATAGATTATCTGATAAATACAGTTTCACGATTTGTAAACTATAGTTTACAAACCGTTAACTATAGTTAACGATCTGATAAATATAGTTTCACGATTTGTGAAACTATGATTAATAACTCTTAACCATAGTTTACGATCGTAAACTATAGTTTACAAACGTGAATCTATGTTTATCAACAAAATCTATTGTTAATGCCTATTACAGACAGATAAACTTAGATTATCATTCGTAAACTATAGTTAACAACCGTTAAATATAGTTTTACAGGTGAAAACTATACTTAACGAATCGTTAACTATAGTTTACGGTTTGTAAACTATAGTTTACAGTCGATAAACCTAGTTTATCAAATGTGAAACTAGGTTTATCTCATTTTTGTGAATTTGGCGTGCCATATATATACTTCAGTCAACTACTCTTTTCCATAAGGCATTTGCACATGTAAGGCAGCAGACATTTATTATACATGTGTACTATCATTCACATAGCCATAATATGTAACTTATCTGGACAATCTTTCCCGTGACATGAAGTAGGGAAAAATATATCTCAATCATTAATGGAAATACTAAGGCATATGTATGGAACGCTGTCACTGCCTTATAGCAGAACACAACAATTGCATTGTGTCAACTTTCCATTACATTATGTCAACACATTGTGACATTTACTTACAGTACTATTGCTTATGTCAACTTTCCATTACATTATGTCAACTCTTTATGACATTTACACACACTACTATTGCGTTATGTCAACTTTACATTACATTTTGTCAACTCTTTATGGCATTAACACACACTACTATTGCGTTATGTCAACTTTACATTACATTATGTTAAGTCTTTATTGCATTAACTCGCACTCATTGCGCCAATCTTCCATTGCATTATATCAGCTCTTTATGACATTAAGTCAAAACAATTTTACGTGGTGTAAAGATGTTAATATATAATTTAAACTCATTATTACATTATGTGCACTCTCTATTATTTGGTCTAAGTAGTTCATTACATGATGTGAATTTATCTTTAATTCAATATCAAGTCGCTATAACACGATGTCAGAATTTCATATATGATGTGAAAAAAATTGTCACATGTGGCCAATTCTTTACTATCTTGTGTCATCAATATGCTACATGACGCCGGGGATCTATTACATGATGTCAATTTTCCCTTACTTTTTGACAAATCATTATTATGTTATGCCATTGTATCTCTACATTGTGTCTAAAATGCTTAGCCTCTTGTCAGTATATCTTAGAATATTTCAACTCTTTATTATGTGACGTAAGGTTTAGGTTATGCCTAAAAGTTCGTTTTTGTGTTTTCAATACTAGTATTACATGCACATATGTTAAACTTGCAAATGATTTAAATTAAACGTATCAAATATTAAATTATACACAAGACTTAATTAATCCTTAATTAAATATCAGGTTAAATTAAAAATAGGATCATGTTCCCATGGAATCTTTATTGACGATTTGAGAAGTCCGAAACTTCTGATCTAACTACAAAACACTGTCCTAAGCTTTTTATCAGTCTTTAACCCTCCTTTTTTTAAAAAAAAAAGTGTAAATACATCGTATTTCATACGTGCACTGGTGGGTCGGTGGGGAATGGGAGGATCCCGCCCCCCCCATCTTTAGTGACCAAAATATGCATGAAATTAATCAATTGATTTTACTTTGTAGGACATTGCATTAGTTTTACATAAAGTATAACTGAAATAAGTTGAAACGTTTTATAAAAAAAATCTAAAGCCTGAGAGCTTTCGGGCTTTCACCCCCTGGTCCCCAACTTAGACACCATATCGTCCCCCTATAGCTACTCCTTTCAAGAACAGAAGATCGCAACTGATATGAGCCCGTGTTAATTTAAGTGAAAACGTAGATTTTTGTAACAGAATTCTGGTCCTGGAATGGTTGAAAAATTACTAATTCCAGTGGACGTTGCATCGTTTTTGAAAACTGGGGGAGGTTTGTCAGCCAGAAAAAAACGTACAAAAAAAGCGAAAAATAAATCCAAACTCGAAAATCTTATTTCGGGTGAAAGGAGGGGGGGGGGGTCCAACTTCGATCAGTTCTTAAAAAAATTCCAAATATACTACATTACCCTTATACTTCAGCAAAAAGTGGGACTGAATTTCAATGAACATTTTCTATGATAAAGTTATGTCGGAAAAAAGAGGAATTCAGACCCCTACCCCCCCCCCCCCCCCCCCTCATATAATGTGTCTGTAATTCGTCCTAATTAATCAGGACCCCCCCCCCCCTTCCCAGTCCTGAAAACACGGTTATCAACCTTGACATAATGTAAATGTATTTAACAGCGGGTAATGAACATTTGTAATCAACATGATAAAGAATTAACACAATGTAAAGATGTAAAGTTTTAAATCACATAAGAAAGAGTTAACATATTCTTATTAAATATCCACATAAAGGAATGGAGTTTTTACATAACGTAATAAAGTGTTGATATAATATGGAACGCCGTGACTGTCTCCATAATATATGTTCACATTATGTTATTAACCTTTTTACATCACGTAATAAATAACTGACATATAGGTAAGATGTATTCACCTCACATTCGATTGTGATGACCTCGGCATAAAATAAAGATACATTAACATCACGTAATAATGCTTTGTTATAATAGAAATATACACTCACAAAAGGGAATGGACTTTGACTAAATGTAATGAAAAATTTAATCATAGAACACATGTAAAACGCTTAACTTGACGTAATGCAATTTTGGCCTCACATATTAAAGAAATGAAATGATATAAAGAAACATTCATTTCACGTAATTAAGTTTTAACACAATGTAAACATATTTTCACTTCACATAATGAACTTTGGTCTTCAAGTTATAAAGTGCCGACATAATGGAAGAATGTGTTTACTTCATGTAATGCAGCATTGACATGATGTAAAGATATTTTTACATCACCCCATAAAAAAATGATATAACGTAAAGATATGTTCACATCACGTAATGATAGATTGACATAATGAATGCATAGTTTTATGCTATAAGGCAGTGATGGCGTTCCATACATATGATTTCAGGGACCTATATACTTAGTATATAGGTCCCTGATGATTTCGATTCCAACTAATTCCAAAAAAAATTATCATCACATTATTAATCATCGCAACCCTTTTAATGAGAACATTTTCAACATTAAAATACTATCTGTTTTGTAACAAGTTAGCCTTTGCACCCCCACCCCCCTTTAAATGCACTATTATGATGTATCTGGATTAATTGCATATCTATGAATTTTGACATGATATGTTAACCAAACGTGTATATATTTTCAACTTTATACAATATTCGTAGCCTTTTTATAGAAATTAATATCACATAATTGAAAGTCGAACTTTGAAAATGTTGATAATAAAGAAAATATTAATATATACTCTTTCCAGGTAATAAATTAAAAGCATTAATTATAAACGTATTGATTAAAAAGCGCTCATAGACCTCCTTTCTTTTTGAACATGCACTTCATTTTGCGCCTTGCTACGCCAGTGATTAAAGTATACTTTTCAGTATTATCATGCAGATAAATTTTATTTTAAGAAAACTAAATAAACTTAATGAATCTGTTCATATTATTTGTACAAAACAATTTTTACTTTGATTAATTATCTTACTTACCTATCTTGTTGTGCAGGCCGGATCAGCATGTGAGAAAGTTCATATTAAAAAAAAAATTATATACTTTTAATTTATTTGAGAAAAAAAGTCAAATTATTGGATGTATGTATATTCATCATGAAAATTTAAAAGACTCAAAACAGTGGCATATTTCCTTAATAGGGAATTAATTCAGAATAATTTAACTGAAAAAAAACAATAAAGAACCCACAAAAATGTGCTTTGTGTAAGCATTTTTCCTGAAAAGGCAGTTGTGTTTACAAGTATTTCTAACGCATGCGCGATAACCTTCTTGACCCTAGACTATGGAGTAATATCTGAAATGGTAAGGAAATGGAAAACGATACGATTATTAATATTGAGATCTATCTGTACTGTTAAAGTGATATTTTTATTATTCGATTTTGTAGCACAAGTTGAAAAGTTCCCAGAAAGACAAAGTGAGGCAATTTATTGCCTTCACACAAACGGGAGAAAAGTCAGCAATCAACTGCCTAGGAGCTCACGATTGGAAACTCGATGTTGCTGTTGACAATTTCTTTCAAAACCCTGATCGCTATAGTAGCGAACCCAGATCTTCCGTCGACAAAAAGAAACTCGATGCCCTATGGCAGAGATACAGAGGTAAAAACACAGATGCGGGGTACTGTGATGGTAATGTTGTTATATAGTTCGAATTTTCTCTGCAGTGTTTATGCTGTAATACGAGCTGGTGCTGCAAATTCAGACTTCTTATACAGTATCTCTAAATTTCTGAATATTAATGAATACGTCTATGCTAAGATGCTAAATAGAACACATGATCTTTAAGGTAGGTAAATGATTTGACAGATACCTCCCAAAGATAAGTAAGTTTATGATATGTGTCCCGTTATTAGAATAAAGTCAAGCATACTGGACTTGTAAGACTCTTAATCCTATGATATTATGTTTTTTTCATTTAAGA